CATCGTCGTGTGTTTGTTCTTATACACATCTACAGCTCGGATTGCTTAGAACGTCAAAATTTCAATAAACTTTGGGGTAATCCGAAGTGTAATGTGCCTCCCGCCACCAGGGTTTTAAAAGCGAGGGTACCCAGCGAATAATGTGCGTTTTGCAACCCAGTGACTGTTTCAAACTGTTCTGAATTTGAAACAGTCGAGCCCCAGGAGGTCACGATATACACAGCTGCGCGCAAGCTATCATTTAGCTGTTAGATTTAAACATAGAGAAAATGTGTAATTGTTCATTTATTTGCTCAATGATAAAATTATATTTTTAATATATGACAAAACATTGGCTATATTATATTAAAGTAATCAATTTGAAGGTAACATGTTGTAATAATTTGTCAAAAAATGAGCTAAAAGGCACATTTTCCAATAAATGTATACAACATGGTTAAAAACTGTTAAGCAGAGTTTTTAATTTCATCATTGTACAAATAAAAGTCACTTTCAAAAATTTAATACCTTCAGACATTTAAGAAAATAATTTTGTCTGCTGGCAATAATGCAACACTAATTTAATGTTGCCACACTATGACATTCATGTGCATAACAAGTACTTATACATAATGTCATATACATCTCTTTAATTTTATAAAAAACAAGAACAAAAATGCTGAAAATAAATATCACTAACATGAAATGATTATGCAAGTACAACACTTAAATTAATAATTTGATAAAAAAGCAAATTACGACGATAATACACCAAAATCATTCAAAGCAGAACTTAAATATAACAGCTAAATAATAGTAATGGTGAAACAAAATGTGCAATTTCACAGACCAAGTGTAATGAACCATTTGAAAGCCACATAATAAATAGACATGCAATACAACGTTATTTTTATACATAAGTTTTATTCTATATACCGACTTATTAATTATATTGTTAATTAAATCTTGCATGAACCGATTAAGAAAACAAAAACCTTGGAAATAAATTAACAAAAAATCTTTCAGTTGCTGTAACGAAACGCAAAGGTATTATTTCCCTCAAAGGTGTTTTTATTCAACACAAGTATTAAAAATAAAATTCAAAACTCTTCAAATTACGAAATCATATTTTTAATGAAATAAAATCGTTTTGAAAACATAATAAATTCGATAGATTCAAGTTATGCAAAAACAGTTCACTTATACTATGTTACAAAAGTAGTTTAATTATGAAATTCGTTACGGTAATCTCAGTTCACATAGTTCAGTCATAATTCGACACAAAGTTAAAAAAATAATTAAGTATTGTTCATTAACCAATTAAATTATATTTTTTGTGTAGCTAGGAGAATAAAAAACATTTAAAAATATAAACATTATATTTTAAAAATATTTTTTTTCTACCTGGTAAATAAATTTGCCTACAAAACTTAAATCAAAGTATCGAATTATGATTAAACATTAACTATTTACCTCTACAACACACTTAAATGTAAAATTTACATTAACAATAACTATGTACCGTCTCATTATAGTGTAATAAAAAAAAATGATTTCTTTTTCAGTACCAGCATACTCATTTTGGAAGACTTATTACTATTATTTAACTTATTTTTCGACTTAGCGAGTATTAAGGCCTAAACAGTACAATTTAAAGAGTTCAAAGATTTTTCTGGCCGCCATCTAGATATTATTATATTATACTAGCTGACCCGGCAAACGTTTTGACATAAACATTATTTAAAAAAAAAATGGTTTGTAAAATAGATGTTGGCCGATTCTCAGACCTACCCGATATGCACACAAAATTTCACAAAAATCGGTCTAGCCGTTTCGGAGGAGATCAACCACTCACACCGTGACACGAGAATTTTATATGTTAAATATAGAAATTTATAGCATTAAACACTAACATTTTGGTTTGACAGTCAAACCCTATTGTATTGTAGTTCAGGATTAGTTCCTTAATTATTTTTTAGATTAAGTTCGAGACGTAGATAAGTTGGATTACAGACCTAGAATAAATCGAAGGTATTCTGAGCTATATAATTATAATCTACTACGATGTGATCAGGTTAACATTGTAAGTACTAAGAAAGGAATAGAGTGAACCAAAATTAAAACACAGTGTTCTTCATCCCCTGCACTTACCAATAAAAATTACATGATTTTTTCACGTTCATTTAAGGTGTAATCCAAAAACTTACTATTAAAGAGACATTTTAATTCAGTCGCATGTTCATGAAGAAAAATCATGTATTTGGAAGTTAATCAGGAATAATGATTGAACTAACCAAAGTACGTGGCGTATTTTTATTTATGACTAACTCGTAAATGACATTATCAATCGCGCGGGAAACGGTAACAAAGATGGCGACCCATAATTTCGAACTCATTTCTGGAATGTACACAAAGTTTGATAAATTATGCAGGATAGACAAAGCAAAACAGTTCTACAGTTTTTCTAATAGGCATTGATGTATAATAAATAAAATTTAAGAGCTGAGAATTTCTATGTAAACAAAATTGATTATATGTGTTCTCCTTTTTACACGCTTTATATTAGCTTCACTTGTATGTTTGTAACCGACTCCTTTGGGCGTGATTTTGACTGACTAAACGGTCAGAATTCGTTCAAACTTTGTAGATATATCGAGGACTGATGACAATACACTACTTTAAAATAAAAAAAACAAAAAACAAAAAAACACGCTTTTATAGAAAACCAAATAAAAAATAGTTTTCTATAAATTAATACAAAAAATAGTTTTGGTTTTCTATAAAAGCGTGTTTTTTAGTTTTTTTAAACAATTTTTTTTTAATATTTTTTTATTATTAATCTATGTGACACAATAATATAACAAAACATAAGCATTGAAATTTATAGAAAACTTATGCGGTTTGTAATAAATGCTCCGTTCAGTAGGAAGTACTGTATTAGGTGTTATTGAAGTGTTTATTTTTTTAATTAGATATTAGTTTGTTTTTAATATTTTATTCCTCTGATACGACCAGTATTTTGTTATAGACGATATACGAGAAAACAGGTGGTGAGAAATCTGCCACTGGTTTGTCTCCTGTCGAACGACGCGACTCTTCGAAATGAGCGCATGTTGGTGGTCCAAGAAATTTGTTATGTTACAATTTAATTGGAAACTCTCAGTCAACTTAAGATATTTTTATTATATATTAATGCTTATCAGTCTGAACAAGTTTATAGATTAATTGTACACTGTTTTTATACTATCCTTAATTTATTTAGCCTCTTGGAATTTAAAATGATCCATCCAATATGAGAAATGCACCGTTCTAAGTAAAACAATATTTTTTTGAATATGACATTTTAGAAATAGACTTACTAACTACAATAAACACGTAAAATATTTACAATCAAAACATTTTGTCATTTAACATTAGCTATAAACAAACTCTTTAAGTACCTTTTTCAAGAAAAAATATCAAAAAATAACATTCTCTTAGTTTTTCTATATGGTAACATCCATGGCACCATAATCATCTGAGTCTCTGATGATTTCTTTCTATATTTACAATATTTTACAACAAATAACGTACGAATTATTCCTATCGGTAATATGTAAAGATTTAGCATGTGGAAGTTCAAATGTACAACCAATAAAAAGTGACTAAATACTGATTAATTATTGTGGAAGAAGCCACCAAAATATTGTTTTGCCAAACACATGATTTGACACTAAAATTATTTATTTTCATAAAAAGGCTATGCTTTATGTAAAGTTTTGCCTCATAATTGCAAGCTTACGAACAACAATTATATTATCAACCCTGTATTTTTTTTATTTTTAGATAATTTTTGAGCAGGCTTTTTATTTACATACTTTTAAACTTAATCGGAAACAAAAAAATAAATAAAAACGAGTCAACTTTCTTAAGGAAAAAATAACACTATTATTTTTATTAACAGTAAAATTAAAGCTGAAATGGTAATGTGTTCAGATTGCCATAGATACAATTGGTATACAACAAACTTTTATAAACATATACTATGAACTATACCCATAAAACAACTCTAATAAGATAAACCGTTATAAATATTATAGTAAACGTTTACAAATTATTAAAAACAACAACAGCCATATGGAATGACAACATAATATATGTGAAAATATGGAAAATGACATTTCCAAAGTCTACATCTTACCACTAATAAAAATATCACCAATTTTATATGCAGATGCACTATATAACGTGATGTATATGAATATACATTAATGTAAATAATATATTTGTATATAATTTAATAAACCGTTTAGATATATTTAAGCAATAAGCTTGTAAATATTTAATTACGAAGAGTAACATTAAATATGTAAAGTTTGATGAATATATTTAGAGATAGTCTTTTAAAGAAACTATATATTTAGTGTACTTATTATACAGAAGGAGATAAAGATTGAAAAAAGTTTAGAAAATAAGAAAGATAAAATACAATCTAAAAACCCACTTATGAAAATAGTAGTAACTGGATTCTTCTGTCGAAATACAGATGATTTTCTCTAAATATATTTATCAATAAATATATTTTGGCCTGTTGTATATTTTATCTATATTTTTGCACATATATGAACATTTAGAAGTATTATACAGCATCATAGCTAGAAAAATAAATGTATAAATAACTGTATGTACTCTTTAACAATAGACAACTCGAATACAGTTAATTTATGCTCAAATATAATTGAATAAGCAATAGTGGCACTTTTATAGGACTCACTAGAACAATATTAAAATATCTGTCTGATATACTCTACATACAAAACGGTTCAAGCTTAAGCTCAATTTTGACACATTATGTTCCTGCTTCGTATACCTATATAATATAATTATTATGTACATTTATTTAGTATCGCGCGAGTCAAAAATCAACGACACAATACTACATTCCAAACAACGATAAACTCAAGTTCTAACACAACTAGCGATCTACTCCAATCTCGAGGGTACGATATATAAACAGTTAAAATTAGTTTGTAACGCAAACGTTATTCGGGGGGCGGGGGCGGCACGGGCGGCGGGGGCATGGCCGGCAGAGGCGGCTGTGGAGGCTGGGGGGGTTGCGGGGGCGGGCGCGGAGGCCGCGCGGGCCGCACCGGGGCATGCTGCGGCGGGTACATGTAGCCCTCCATGCCGTAGTAGTAGCCGTCTAGGGGCATGCCGTAGTACAGCGGCGGCGGCGGTTGCACCATAAAGTAGGGCAGCGGCTGCCTGTAGGGGGGGGGAACATTCCAGTGGCCTACCTTAGGGTGGTGCGGCGCTCCGTTGTGTCGCGGCATCTTGGGCGGCGGGCCGGCGTCGGGCGCGGTCGCGCGCTTGCGCGACGAGTCGAGCACGTCGCGGGAGATCTTGATCTTGAGACTCGACGTCTGCGGGGGAGGCGGGGGCGCCGCGAGCCGCTCCTTGGGTATCTTGATCTTCAACCCAGGGCTGGTCAGCTTTTCCTTGGGAATAGTGATCCTTAGCGCGCCGTCCGCCGTCTGTTCGGACGGCGGCGGCTGCGGTGGCGGACTGTCTCTTCTCTTGTCTTTATCCTTTTTATGTTTCTTCCTCTCCTCTTTTGACTTGTCCCGATCTTTATGTTTGTGTTTATCCTTCTTTTTCTTTTCCTTCTTGTGTCTGTGTTCGTTTGTTTCTTCAGCAGGCTGTGCGATCGGTTCGACGGGCGGGGGAGGAGGTTGGATTACAGGTGGAGGGGCGGGTGGTTCGACCGGTACCTCGCGTTTTACCTCGGGCGATTTGCGCTCCGTTACCACTGTGATAGGCGCCGGTTTAGCCAAGCTCTCTTTGAGTAGATTAGACACCTGAGCCGGGTCCGTTTCGATACCGTTTAGTGGCCTCGTAGGGGGCTCAGGTTTGCGTTCCGGCCCCCGGGTCTTAATGGAACTTCCTCTTTGTGAATCGCGGATAACGTTCTCGTACCCGGGCGTTTCATCTAATTTTTTGACTACTGGAATTAACTCCGGTTCAGAGTTAGACATGACGCGTTGTCTCTGTTGTTTTGGATGCTCCTTTGGAGGCGGAGACGAAAATGGGGATAGTATAGCAGGAGGTTGCATTTCTCTAATCGCAGCGGTGGGGTCCGGCCTCTTCCTGTGCGGACTGGGCGGCCTCTGTTCAGGTCTCTGCACTTCCTGCGGCACGGGTTGGGGAATTGCAGGCGTGGGTGCAGGGTTAGGTGGTCGTGACGATACCTCGGGCTTTAGTCGATGCGAGGGTTGTGGAGGAGGTTGGCTCGGTTGTACAGGGGGTTGTTGCGACGGAGGACGGCGCGGAGCCGCGGCAGCCGCAGCGGTGGGGTTAATTGCACTCTCTGGCGAGAATAGAGACGGAGGGCGAGTTCTTTGTGGCACTATTTCTGGCTGTGGCTGAGGAGGATGTGACGTAGGCGCAGGAGCCGGAGCTGAAGTGCCCGGTATTGGCGGACGGTGATGCCTGTGGTCATGAGGAGGTTTCTGATGATGTGGCTTGTGTTGAGGCCAGGGATGGTGAGGTTTATGGTGATGTTGAGCAGTTGGCCTCTGGTGGTGGGGTGGCGGTTGCGTTCCAGTAGGAGGTCTACTCGCTCCAGGACGTTGTTGAGCCGCCATAGCCTGCTGTCGCTTCTCTCTTTCCTCTCGCCTTTCTCTTTCTTCTCTTTCTCGTTTCTCTCTATACAGGTTATAGTCTATTTTCTGGGGTGGAGGTTGTGTGGGTTGTGAAGTCGTTGCAGGTACATAGCCCCCAGGTACTGGTTGACGACGTCTCTCACGTTCATACTCTGCAGGAGCGTTTTTGGAAAAAGACAAATTAAAGAATGTTACAATATTATAGTTGTTTTCTCAAGTTTTTGCAGTCATGTAACTGAGCTACTAACAACCAGTGATTACTTCTTTAAGACGAATGTATAATGCATAGTGCTATCCATAACACATCATCAATGTGAGATAAAATTAATTTATATTATATTTAATGGACAACAGCACTGCAAAGAGAAGGAAATCTTGACACAAACCCTATACCAACCCGTTTGGCCAGCGTGGTATAGTAGGTCAAAACCTCTTTCTAGTTAAAGGCCTATGTCCAGCAGTATACTACTGAAGGCTGTTGATGATGATACTTGAGAGGCTTTCCTACTAGCAAACTCTGACTCAGGAATAGCAGCTTTAATAATTAATCCTTAAATATAATAATACATTACAATATAACTATATATGTATATGTTAAACTATATTTCTATATATATATATATATTATATAAAATGTTCTACACTTCAAACATTCAAAAATTTCTGAAACAATTGAGCCCAAATTTTGACACGATATACAAACCCTCACGCCTCAAGAATTGTTACTCATTTCTCATCAATGCAAATTAAATGTATAGTACAGCGTACGGTACAGCTAGTTATCTATAAACATTTGATGTTTGACAAGCCTTTGCAAATACTGACCTTTGTCAAAAGATTTGTCTATCTCATCTGTGCTAGATGGTGGGTGCTTCTTGTCGAAGGGCGAATTGGCAACCCCCGACCCTGAAGCATTCGCCAACGAATGTGGCGAACTTCCATCGGCTGTAAAGAATTAAAATAAAAACATATTGACTGTACGGATGGCGTAGTGGTTTAAGCGGTCGTATCGGCGTTTCCTTCTGCTAGCGATCCCCTAATGGGATCCACTGCGCAAAAAAATGATTTTCCGAAAAAAAGAACCTTTTGGAAAATTAAACGCTAGTATACTATTAAGCATGCCGCTGGTGTGTAAATGAAATAGCGTATTAGGATGGCGTTGTGCTATTCTAGAATTGTAAAGTCAAGATATCACCATTAACACGCAAAAACCTTAATAGCGTTGTCAATCAATATTAACTATTTATTTTAGTCAGCGAAGAACCTCCGTACCATATGGGTAATGGTTCTCACTAGTCTAAAGAAAATAGTCTTTGGACCTCATAATCCCACAGTTATCACAAATCTATTCCTAAAAGAAGACAGTATGAAACACAGAAATAACCACATTACCATTTATTAAAGTACCAACTGCTCTGCTCAATATCTATCAGTCCAGGAATAGGTATCGGTTTCTTCTAGAAACACTAGATCATGGAGATAGAATCCGTTACTCACCAGCTTTCACGTTCATCATTTTCCTCTTGAGCCTAGAGGGGCACTTCTCAAAGATGAGCAGGAACTCGGCGGTGAGCCGTTCGAGCAGCTCCGTGGTGACCGAACGGTCTACGTAAGAGAACCAGTGACGGCCCTCGTTTGATTGTGGGATCTGGTAGTAAAACGAGTCTATTACTCGAACGGAAACGGAAAACTCCTCGATTCTTACTTTACCGGTTTAGTTGGGCTCTTGAGTTAGTTTAGGTTTTATTTTTTTTAAATTTGGTTTTATGTGGTATTTATTCAGATTGATTGAATACAGCTTTTTTATGAAATATGGTCAACGCAAGTAAGTCATTGGGATGATATTTATAATGAAATAATGAAAAAAATATAAGGGCAGAATAATTCTATTCAGTATCTGTCGTTCATTCATTTTAATTTGATTGCAATTTATTGACTTTTAATACGTTGGTTATATTTCTAAGTAGTGCGAGATACAAATTCTACGTGGACGAATTTGCAGATTAATTTGTAATTTATTTAAACTTATTATTTGCACTTAATTAAACTTTAAATTAAACTTACCGCCCAATTGCTCCATTTCGAAGCCAAATGTATACAGAAGCAAGCTACAACTGTCGGCCTGTATTGTAAACACATCGTTGTTAAATGCAGGCTGTTTGAAGCCATGAAGTACGACGTTTGTGCCAAATCTTTTGGTGCTGAAAAAAAAAACAACATAATAGAAAAAAGTCTTTTTTGAATATAGAATGGGATTGGGTTATGGAATGAATAAGCAGGATCCTAGTAAAAAAAGAGTGATACGAGAATCAACCAAATTGCCTGTTTAGAGACCTGGCAACACGTTTTTTTAAGAGTTTGTGCGTTACCATAGCCTATTGAATATTCGTTATTAAATTTTGTCAAGTTTTGACAAATCATTTTAATTGTAACATTTTTTATTCTTCAATTTTATTACACAACACAACACTATCTTAATTAGCAATTATAGTAGAATAGATCATTCTTTTACACTGCTATTCTTGCACAAAATTAAAAATATCATCAGAAATATCAAAACAGATAATAAGCCTAGGGGATTATTTTTTCCCATTATTTTTCACTTATATACATTACATATATTTATTATTTATTAAATATTACATATTTATTTATTACTCTGAAAGTTTTAATTAATGTTTTCTATATTATATATTTAGGTATATATGTCCCTGTGGTTACGGACTAAGAATACAGAGTGTCATCACCCCCATTCATCCCGTGGCTGTCGTAAGAGCCGATTAAGGGAGGAAGGACCACAGCACTGCAAACAGAAGTAAAACTTGAAACAAACCCTATACCAACCCGTTTGGTCAGCGTGGTAGTAGGCCAAAACCTCCTTTCTAAGGAGAGGCCTATGTCCAGCAGTGGACTATTAAAGGCTGTTGGTGGTGATTATATATAGGTATTTAATACTGTGTTTATACAGCAATATCAACAGGAAAAACGAATGTGTGCGTCACTACGTATAACTACTGGTACTTTAATAACTGCCCGTCTCGATATTCAAATTACATATTTCATATTAAATCCGCCTTTTTGTTTCACTGCCGGCACAGTCATATTATTTACAGGACAAACAAAATTATCGTTCTGCGGTGGGAAACCACACAGTAAACAGAAGCTTTGGTTTAAGTGCTAAGATATTAATAAAATTATTTACTTACTGCAGACTCGGTAATAATTCATGGAATCGAGATAGCAATATTGTGTCCTCTTTACGTATGTATTATGAGATATAAATATTACTAGATAAATACTATCAATATAAAGAATGTATTGAAACAATGTAAAGTTGTGAAATAAAAAAGCGAACATAAAACTGAATAAATACAAATTCATTGTCACTTTAACTTCTTTCTTAATACCGAATATTTATGACCGAGTCTGCAGCACCTTTTAACTCGTTCTCAGTAAAGCCACAGTTCATAAAGCTAGCGTCACGATACGCCATTTATCGTAATGCTACAGTTACTTGACTGCCAGGACATACTTATGAACTACACATGAATTTCTAGGATAGTTTATTTATTTTTAATTTTAAAACGTGTCGAAAGCGTGTGATTTATCTATATGTATTGAGACAATTATGTATTTAGTACTATATAAGTATCTTTATCAGCAGTCTGTTTGCCAAATCAGACTCAGCCTACTTGAAGCCGTGTTAAAATAAAATCTTTACTATATCTTAGCATATCTGTGCGACTACTATTTAAAATTATAATTACAAGAAAATGGTTTTCATTATTGCCAAAGTACTTTTTTAGTCAAATCAAGAATTAAATGTGTATTTGATGCATAAGTTAGAACTTCCTAATCAAATTCCTTCAAAAATAGCTGATTAATGTGTGTGGGTTTTGGCTTTGAATTTTTTAATTGTAATTTGACAACTGGACATATGTAAGATGGATCTAATATAAAATCTATTTTTTTATAAGCTGGAAGCTAGGAATTACGTGAATGGCAGAACGCATGACATGAAGTAGGGTGACCTAAATGCGGCGAGTAAATGGAATTGGTTAGGGTGACACACAAACAATATTTTTTTTTTATCATATCCACATACCTTTTGGAGATTTTCGTATGTATGTAGGTATACATTGCCTGGTCATTTTTTTTCTTATATTTATTTATTTTTTGTAAACGATCGAGCCCAGTGCGGTATTCGGAAACGGTCTCGATTCTATCCCAGTGTTTTAAAACCTATGGCTGCCATACTTTGTGGCTGTTTCCGTTAGTTGGAAACAAGGGTATGATTTTATATTTGTTTTAGACTGAATACTTTCTTGTACACTTGAAAAAGTGTTCGAATGTGAAAAGTTTTTAAATTATAAATTAACCAATTATTAATATTAGGGATGAATGTAAAAACAGTCTCAAGCTGATGAAATAAGTGCAACAAAGGGTCAATAAAGAAACGTACGTATTACGTACGTAAAATATAGGGGAATATATACAATAATAATAATTTGCCTGAAAAATCATTTTTATTTGTTTTTAACATTCCACATTATTCAAATTACAACAAAAGAATGACAGCCATATGTGTGTAGACATTTTTTTCTCTCTAGTATATTCTATACTATATAATAAGAATATACTTGTAGGAAGTATTTTTACAATATACACATATATATATTTTTGTAAATATCTCTATATTTTCAATTTCGACAAATTATACACTGTCTGAAAAATAGGAACACTCACAAATCATTTGCCTTGAAAATATAAGACACCTGCATAGCCCGCTACACAATGTAGGGGCGATGGTTCAAACCCAGACCGTACCGAACCAACCACCGCATTGACAAAAACTCAGAACTCGATCGTTCCTCGCAAGACATATCACAATTCCTGCTAGACCGGGGTCCGTGGCGTCATCGAACTCGACACAATGTAAGGACGCTTGTCTCACCTTTGACAAGGTGACACGTCCGTACAACGTGAGTGTGAGGGTGGTCGATCGCAACATCGAACCCTAAAGTCTGAAGGAGTACGTTCTCGTTGAATACCAGGTCCTGCGCCTGTAACAATATGAGAGAAAATTATAGGTAAGAGTAAGAATAGAAAAGAAAAATAATTTAATTAGTTGACTAATTCTAAACTTTTAAGGGTATTTTGAAAAGTATAGAATTATAGAAATTTATCTTTTCGTTGCACAAATGTGCCGAAAATGAAATGATACAACAGTTACTGTTGTCAAATCGTGCAGAGATCTGTATTTGAAAAAAAAAAGGCTAAACCCGTCTGTTTATCTTCTCGTAATTCCTAATCGAAATTTATTAATTTATTATTAAGAAATAACGAAAGAAGGTATTTCACAAGGTTTGACAACCGATTCCGATTATGGAGTAAATAAATCTAAAAAATACATTACGCTTAATTAATATTCGAGAACATTATACATGGTCCAGGTGTCAAGCGCTCAGTGCGACTGAGACAGGTGTGCTATGAGCGCAGTATATAAAAATAAATGGTACCATCACATCCCGTTTACTTTGACGGGCAACATCCACCTGGCCTCTTAAGTCATTGAACTCTGTATCACGATTAATGTAAATGATAAATGTAATAGTTATATTGGACTAAAGATTGTTTACACCTGTTGATCCATGCTATGAGGGTTTCATTAAAATAAATCAATTGTTGTGAAACCCTCATTGCATAATGATTTTCTCAGACTTCCAAAATCAATACCGGTTCAACTCCCTTATAATCCTACTTAGACACAAATCAACAGGTGCTAACAACCTTTTGTTCAATGAACTGAATGAGCTATTAATGGTTGAAAGTACTGTGTTGTTGCATATTTTTATGTATGTTTAACATCGACTTTTTGCGCAATTCTATGTACCATCTTGAATGCCTAAGATGCAGTCTAATATCGTTTATATTTAAGTACTGAAATAATCATAGATTTAGTGAGTTCTAAGAATGAATCCATTTATTAAGTTTTTTAGAGGTATGCGTAAGTATTTAGATCAGTTGTTAACAACAATAATGGCATTAAAACCATACTTAAACTTTAAGATGTATTCAAATAATTATCACTATGATCTTCCTGCCCTCTCGTAATCATTAGTTAGTGTCAACACAAAGGGTAACATTGCAAGAGGGTTATTTTTAAGGTGGTCTGAGTTTAAAACGAGGCAATGGAATAAGATTAATTGGTACAAGAAAAACGTATAGAGCGAGGGGGTTATGGGATACCACAAGATTTTAGAGGGAACCATTTTTTTTTTGTTGACGGGATAGAAAATCCCTTTGGATCTCCCGCTCCTCGGGGACGCAGGAGGATGTGGTGTGTGAAGAATGAAGCTGCAGTAGCTCGCTGAGGGCGAGTCGCGTACTCGTATGACCGTCTTATGATTGGATGATAGGCCTCTGGTGAAGGGACAACTTTCCAAATCGTCAAACATATTCTTAAATCAAAATCTCACCTGTTCTTGGTACTGTTCCGCAGTGAGAGCGTTGACACTCTCACCTCTGTGGAGGCATACGTGTGCCACCTTTATAACATATTCCAATTTTCTTGGCTGTTCCTCCACCTGCAAACAATTTAATTATATATTATGTTTGTATGTACGGGTGTTTTTTGTATTCCTAACATTTATATTCAGTGTCATGTACATTCATTAATATGACAATCCAGAATTTGATAACTCATGGTTTTACTCTTTCATCAACTTTAAAATGAGGAATGGAAATTAGAAGCCTTTTTTCTAGGTGTATATTCCGCAATATTTGAGACATTTGTTAACCAATTTGAAACAGTATTTCTTTTTTAAACAATTTAATAGGTTGTAAGGTTGGTCCCTTATTTATTTGATATTTTGAACCTGTATAGGTGGAAAGTTTAAGGATGATTGTTGTTGTTGATGATTATTATAAGCTACAATGATGAGTTTATCAGTACATTACAATCTACAATGTAAATTTATGTCAATATTTTTTTTATTGAAGATATTGAATGCTTTTCTTTGTAGAATATTAGTTGACGCCTAACCGTAATGTCGCAATTGATAATGATACCTATCGATACGTGTTAGATACCAGTAGTACGTTATCTGTTGTTAAAAGACAGAATCGGTCATTGCAGACATCTTGATAAACGGTTAAAAATTGGTGAAACATTTATTTGGTGTTTAGCTGGCACTCGATATTTTCGAAACTTCAAACTACACAACTGCATATTTTTGGGAAGAGAAAAGACATTTTGTACTTCAAAAATTACACCATAATCTAACTTCCAAATAACCTATTGTATGTCTAACACCAAAATAACTCACTTTTATACTACTATGAATTGTAATCAATGTTGAAAAAGATTCAGCTTGACTATATAGTTATTATAAGGAAAAACGGAACTCCCTTTTTTTTAATTTTAAATTGTAATCTTTACCTATAATACGTAGAAACAGTGTCGACCTCTATTATAGGACTCCACATACGTACTTCAGTTTTTCTTAATTCTCTATAACTTTTAGCACCTGTTAAGTACTTATGTGGTAGCAACAGGTTGTGTGTATAAAGACAACATACCTCGCCGAAGTGCTATTTCCATTAGCGAGTGACTGTGCCAAAATTTATTGAATATTCAGACCAGAAATCACCGTTAGCTTCTGCTAGTAATAGATCGCATTACTATGAAGTAGTGCCGTAAACTATCGTATAACACATTGTATATCGATAATGACGACAATATATCTGACAATCTAGTTACCCAGATTTAAAAAAGGATAAAAAATATCACTGACTGAAATGTATTACTAAAGTGACTGAAAACCTTTATTCTTTAAATTCCCAACATTGGTATGGTATGTTTCCGTCGAATTTTGAATGGAACCAAAACGGGAGGTATCTTCCAAATAAAGAAGAATAAAACGAGATTGAAAATCTCCTCTTTTTAAAAAAAAAAGACGGTTAAAATAAAAAATTACATTGTCTTCAAGTGCATTCTAATTTTCATTCAATATATAACAGTAAGTATGAATGGATCACCGATATATTTTCATCGACATTGAAAACAAGTGACGTTGATGCTGCCACTCTATCTGTTATGTATAAGAGGCGCCAAAAGGGATGCGTGGAATTTCTAATACAGTGTACAGACCTTTGAACTCCGTAAATAATAGTTGTTACAATTCCTTCAAATCATGAGTATTTGGTAGTTTATATAAATTATTAATAAAACACTTTAATTCGCCGTAGTCCTGACTGAATTTTTAGTTAGTTTTGAAGTTTGAGAAAAACAATTTCCGTATTATAAAGTGCGAATTTATGAGTATTAAACCTCGCGCATTATACTATTTGAACAACTAATATAAAATGTACGTATTTGTATTGTTTGTAGTCCTTCGAAAATTGCCACTGTTTAGTGTTGCGAGATTTTCAAATATTGTCAGTGAATTTCTAAAAGTGCGTAAATCGAATAAGTATATCAGTGATTGTTCTACGGAAGGTAGAATGGAAAATTATGTGCCATTCCCCTCACATATTTTTTCAACAGAATATCGATTTTTTTATTCTGATTTAGCTGAAAGTATTAACAAATCTCATAATTATTTTACAAGTTCCGAATCGATAGACAATTGAGTGTGATTTGACATGTTGACTATATTTTCGTAAAGCCGATTTTAATGAAAATTGTTGGTAAGTTTCTTGTTTTTTACTGGTTGAAACGACTTTTCTTCGTAGCAAAAATGACTTACGTACTGTTAGAACTTCACTGACCATATCCATTTTATTCACAGACAAGCTAGATCGAGAGTCTGTTTAGTGTACAGTTAAATGTCCCCTAGAGACAGATTATATTTAAAACATTGTTACGTACCTTGGCGGCGAGGAACAGCGCTGCAGCAGCAATAGCATTCCGATGGAACTGCGTGAAGGAATGAAAGGCGAAGAACCTGTGCATATACACTATCGCCGTGTTGATGCATAATTGAGAGCTGTTTAATACTGAATTAAGGAAATACTTGTTGGAAATTCACACACAAAAAAAAAAGTAGCATAATTTAAGTGGCTTAAAGTGTGTATAACACAACGAATTTGTGAATCATGAATTTTTGAATGCCTGAGTAAGATTACCGGATGCCAAAAACGCCCCTGAATCCAAGAGGAGGGGGCATTTACATCGTTCTTAACACCATAGACCATTCTTGATTGCCTCCGTATAACATATCATTCATTCCGTCTTATTTTTGTTTGCCACGGTGTACAAACATTGGCTATGAGAAAACTGCGGAATAAGATTCCCAATGTCGGGCCTCAACTACACCGGAATTGTTAAGACCAGATACTCCCGATTTAGATAGCGGACGTAAATCTTTTTTAGAATTGTTTTCAATGTGTAGTCTAACCAAGAAAATAATGTTTAAGTGACTTTGGAAATGTTAGGTACATGATTATAAGGCTATATTTCTCTGCCAACCCCTGAAGGTGTTTAAAGAAGAATAAGTAGATCAGACATCTAGCACCAAGCGCGCTCATTTGTCAAATCTAATAGCGTGCACTTCCATGATTCCCGTTACACATTTACGTCTATTTCTACGAAATCAATCCTATATATTACCGGAAAGCAAGAGGAAATTGAAACCAAAGCTTTTCTCATTAACTTCGTATGCAAAAGGTATCGAACATAAAATAACTAGTACTATCATTTTTTATTTCATATTTTTTATGATACTACGTGTACCGTACGTAACCGTTAAACAAACCTCTTGAACTAAACTATTCAAGTCAATAGTTTGAGTTGATAGTTAATTCTGTGCAAAAGTCAACGACCTAAGAATTTGCAAAGTACCTTTTTATCGGCGGCTTATCTTGCGTAAAAGTAATATATCTGTTACTGTAAAAGCCGGAACAACGGTAAATCTTAAGATTTACCGATAGGAGTATGTAAATGTAAGTGTTGATAAAAAGGGGAACAATTCTTTGGCCTTATACCATTAGAAACTAGTACATGCTAGGTTTTACTAGAGGCGGTTGGTAAATGTTGGTTTTGGGAACCAACATTTATCAACCGCACTTAGTAACAGTGACAATTAAAGCGCAAAGGCGAGCGGGCCGCGGCAGCGGTCGCCAAGCGCCAGATCCCTTATAACATGTCTATTTATCGACATTTACCGTGTATTGGAATTATTCCTAAGATTTAACAAGTGAACGGTGGTAAATGCACGAAATTCGGATCTTTACCATAACTCATTGGTAAATTTTAGGTTTTACCGGCAAATCTTAGGATTAGTAACCTTTTTTTTGGATAAAAGATAGGCTCTGTCCTTTGCAGTATTCCTGCCAATGTGTGTGCAAAATTTCATGATGATCGAATGAACGGTAACTTAGGCCATAAAATACTGAGTTTCGTGATTTAATAAAGACATGTCTTGCCTGTCTTTAATGATAGTCATGTCTTATTTTGTATTCATATAGATCAAAGAAAATTCAAAATCATCGTTAAAAAGCTTTAGATTTACTATTAAGAAAAAACGAACTGTAAATGTTTATATATTCTATGTCTATTGATAACAGACGCTTTTATTATTATTTAAACTACACAACACACACTACTTTCCACAGTACAGGATATCGTGAATCGCCTTTAACCGTTTTCTTAGAAGCTGTTAAAGTCTTTGCAAAACCGTGCTCTCGAAATATATATTAAGGAAAACGCTTACAATAACTCCACTTTTCATTTTGAATAGCAATACAAGATAATGTATTTAAATTGCGTCATTGTAAACGCGATTGTATTGTATTTAACTAACTGTATGGCTGTTATCTAGACCCCAAATGAAGACCCACGTTTTGTTAAGATAATTTATATATGCTTTTGAGTCTGTATAATATTTTTACATATTCAAGAAGGTTCATAAACATCATCATCAGCCTATAATAGTCCACTGCTGGACATAGGCCACTCCTTAGAAAGGAGGTTTTGGCCTACTATACCACACTGGCCAGACGGGTTGGTATAGGGTTTGTTTCAAGTTTTTAATCTTTTTGCAGTGCTCTTGTCCTGTGCAGTTTGTTCCCTTAGTCGGGTGTCCCACGGGATGAATAGGGGTGGTGACATTCCGTATTCTTAATCCGTTACCACACGGATAGGAAGGTTCACGGAATACCTATTTGCTTAGTGCGAATTAGATTATAACACGCGTGTGCTGGTGAGGGCGTGATGTCTTTATCATCAGCCTATCCCAGTGTCAACTATCCCTTATCTAAATTATAATTATATCTTGACGACGGTTATTAACCTAAGTCGGTTGAATATATTTCAATAATAAAGTTATAACTGTTATAACATCTTGAAATATGAGTTATGATAAAAGCTGTTGGATTTTTATCCGGTTTTGAGTCTTCACCAAAACCTGTAAAGTAATTCCAACTGACCTAGAATCATAATGCGAGAAGCAAGTTCTTACAGCACAAGTTAAGGAAAAGTCTTTGATTGGTGGTTATTCGACATAAAAAAGTAATTTTTGGATTACAAAATTATATTTTACTCTTGGGATATTGACTATTAAGTTCATCACCTTTACTTTGGTCTTGTGGTTAGAGACCCTGGCTGCTACGTCAGAGCTCGTGGGTTCGATTCCCACCCAGGACAAATATTGTAGGATGAGCACGATCATTTGTTCTGTCTTGGTGTACTTTATCTATAATAAGAATGTAGTAAGAAAAATATAAGTATGTTTATCAGCAGTCTGGTTACCATAGTACAAGCTCTGCCTATAGTAGAATTATTTTCTCCGTGCAGTTTGGGTCATAAATAGTCGGAGCGGTGAAGCGAGTATTTCGTTCTCTCTTCCACTCACGAGCCTTATGGGCAGGCATAGTGATGCGCATTATTGTTGTCGATAAGCGTTATCGATAGTGTATTTAGTTTTGTCATTTTGTGGGTTAGTGACAAAAATTAAAAAAAAATAGATAAAACAACGTATTTATTAAAATAAGAATAATAATAAAAGATAAGATATAATATTGTAATAAAAGAATAAATTATTAGTATGTATTGTTATAAGTACAATAGTTAAGAATGTAAAAAGTTATGTTAAGAATAAATATAAATACTTATACCTATATTTAAAATGAAAATATTATTTTTAATAAATTCTGCCGTTTTGGTACAAAACAAAGGAGTAGCCATTGTGTCACTAAAGAAATTCAGAGAGCGAATGCACAAAAACACATTTCTCTTCGACATATGTACTATAATTTGCAGTGGGGAACAACAAATGACTTATAACATAACAATGTCTCACCACCTTTGTATACCGCTCCGCCGCCGTGTACTTGCCTTTGATGACTCATTTGTTCTTATCGATAGTGGCGTTGCGCCCGCGCAACATGCTCACCGCCCTAGCCGGGCCGGGGCCGAGCTATGGTTTATGACCCAAACTGCACGGAGAAAATAATTCTACTATAGTTTGGGATCAGACGGCTGTGTTCGAAATGTGTGAAATATTATTATTATTATCAAAAACACTGCAAATATTAAAATAATCTGTTCTTGAGGTAAAGGAAATGTCTACATACACGTTTGCATGAAACCCTCGAATCGAATTCCATAGAGATGTAATATGAAAGCCACTCTGACGCCTAGTTTTAAACAGCAAAATTTAAAAGAATTAACATTAATTTACTTTAAAATATCACATACCTGGTGGTTTTAATATTAAATAATTACTCAAAGCTATTTTTTAAATTCGAGAGCCCATGTTATAAACCGTTAATTAGTACTGTTGCTACGTGATGTAACTTAATTTAAATGAGCAAAGTTCGACTTCAATTGCGTAAAATCTTATTTCTTTAGTCTTATTATAATGTGTTTAAGAAAAAGTGCAAAATATTATCTTACGAAAACACATTTATAAATAAGAACAACTTGCGAATCGTGCAAACTTATTTAGCAAACGAAACTTGGAAAATAACTATTGATAGACAATTTTAGAACTAAAAACTGGCATTGCGTGACAACACTGCCGGTATATTTTATGAGAATTTTATAACAAAATATAGCAGTTAACCTTGTCTATTGTCATGACCGCCCCCGTCCTTGGTCATCGATCAATAAGCCCCGCTTCCTTTTAGTCATAGACAAACTAGACGCTGAGACTTCAGAGGTCCGGCCGGAAAGTCAATGTTAAGGTCAATCAATATCACTACTTAGCCGAGGTTACCCACATCTTTTGCTAGATTATACTTTGGTCATGCTCATATTTTTTATTTATATAAGTTTGAGGGGACGCGGGTAGGCACAATTTTTAATTAACAAACAAATGTTGTAAAATTCAACGGTATAGTAAATACTTGATATCATTTAGTATATAAAATAATAATAATAACAGAATTAGCACAATTCTGTTGTTCAAAAACTCTCTAAACTAAACTAAAAATCACAAAAAAAATTGTTTAGCCCTTTCAAATAACGTTTCGTATTTTAAAACATAGTACTTGACAGGGCTAAACGAATTTTTAGTGATTTTTAGTTTAGATTAGAAAGTTTTCGAACAAGAGAATTGGCGCACTATGTTATAGTAGTTATAATTCAAGGTTGCACCACCTTGTTAATGTTTTGTATCCTTATCGACAATTTCTTACTCGTAGCTTATGGAGACTGCTTACATGAATGTTTAGTACAATTTAGCAAATCAAATCAAATCTTTATTTGCCAACCAAGTGTACATCAATGATCTTATAATATTATATGTAGTAGTCCCAACTTAGAAGCCTTTTCCAGGCATTGCAAAATTTGAGAGAGAACGCAGAAGAATAAATTGTTACACAAATACAAGCATTTTTTGAACAATACAAATTAAGTGACTCAATATTATTGAGCATTATTATTATTAAAACGGTTTTTATAGCATATTGATTTACGTCTTTCCAGTATGTCTGTCTAATAATATTTCGAGAACATTAAAATGATTGATAAGTTAATAGCATGATG